TCTGTGCTGTTTACCACTGTACCTTCCCATCAGCATCTCTGAATTTTCCATGTGTCATTTCTCATAGCCCAAGTAATCTTGTTACATTCAAGCCCTGCCGGCTGCGTAGCCATTCCCCAGTTGATGGGGATCTACCATGTTTCTGCTTCTTTGCCACCACCGAAAGTATTGCAGTGAAGATTTGGGTTTATGTGGGACTTTGCTGTCTTTCACCTCTTAGGGTTATGTTCACTTACTCCAAGTAATTTCTCATTTTTCCCTGTCTTTCTTTGTCTCTTTCCCTTTCTCCTTCCTTCCTTTCTCTCCCACCCCTCTCTCTCTCCCCCTCCTTTCCTTCCTTTCTTCTGTCCTTCCTTCTTTCCTTCCTCTTCCCTCCCTTCTTCCCTCCCTCCTTTCCTTCCTTCCTTCATCGGTGCAGGTAAAGTCCTGTAAGTAAAATGCTGATGTGATGTGCCTGCATCATAGTGTTTGTAGCCCCTTCTTCCTCTGGTTACAAGAGTCAGATGAGAACATGTTTGCAAAGTCTCAGGTAAACTTAGAATCACAGTAGAAATGTCAGTTATTATTGTTGTTGCTATCGGGTTTGTCTAAGAAGCAGATGTTCTTTTCAGCCTTAGATCTGTGATCTAAGGTCATACCTTCTTACCCGAACATGCAGCAACAACATAATGAGCAGGAGAGATGAGGGAAGGAAATCTTTGAGAATGTTCACCGAAAAGGCTATTTTTTTTCCTTACTACTTTCCATTTTATGCCAAAAATTGCTTAATTTACTATATATGCCTTAAGATCACAGTTGCTATAAATTTAATTTATATTATATATCATATGTATATAATTATATATTATATCTCTATATAAATAATTTATATCATATGTACAAATCCCCTTAATAAAAGGATGTGTTCTATAAAACTTGGACTCAGTCAAAAGGCCACACCCAAGTACCTAGAAGGCCACTTGTGGCCTCAAAGCCACAGATTCCCCATCCCTGCATAAAACATACCGCGCTGTCTATAGCTAATCCTATGTTTACATTTCCTGGTTGGATGTTATTGACAGAAAACAGAAGAGGCCAAGTATGAATATGAGGGCATATCCTACATTGGCGCTGTGTGTCTGTCGCCTATCTGTAACCTGTTGTCTTTAAAAAGAAAAAAAAGGTAGTTTTATGCTGGTTACATGTTTCTTGGCAGTATGTTTAATTTTGTTCTTAATAATTACTGCTGAACTATAGGCAGTAGAATACCATGTTTTGTTTTACTTTGCATAGCAGGTATATTACAAAATTGGGCAGTTTCCCCAAAACTGAGGAAATACCTGCCTCAATTGAAGTGAGTAAAATTTTAAGAATAGTTTGATGTCTTTAATTTCAACAACTTTCATTTATCTGTGATCTTAAATATTAGTAGGTTGATATCATTCGTATGAATATCGGAATGTCACCTCCGTTAACATGCCCGGTCATTTCTGGGACACTTTTGGCCATTTGTCCTGCAAAGGGCACAGGTGCCTTCCTGTACAGAATAAAGACAAGTGGTGGTGAAGCCACGAGGGTGTGGATTGCTTTTTAAGCAGGCAGTTCATAATGCCTGATTGGTTGAGGACCTTTGGCAAATGAGGTTTTCTGAGAACTGAAGCTTGTCTTTTCAAATGCCAAAACGAGTTCATTTGAACCATTTGGGATGGAAAGATTTCTCTAGAATGTTTGTAATACTCCTCTTCTTTCTCAAACAAGCATCGTGGAGCGTAGGGTAGGCTTTCCCTGATGACCCAGCGTTGTCATCCTTGTGGACATTTCTTCCTGTGGTGCGACCTGGCCAAGCACAGGACTGCTCTGTCTCTGCAGCTGCAGATTCTCTTCTCTTTCCTTTATCACTGTTAGGCTGCTCTTGTCCACCAGCATCATTGTGCTCTCCATGCCACATCTTCCTTCTGGCCCATTGACTCTGGGAAAGCAGATCGTCCAGCTGGTGAGATGTGTTGGTTAAGTAAGAGCAAATGGGGTCAGAGTGTGGGCTTTTCCTAGGGGATGGCACACATGACTGTATGACCGCTCTTCCAGGTATCTCCAGGGCCTCTCCCCTTCCCTCATTTAGTTCCAGTTTAGGCCGGTGGAGGTGAAGTTTTCCCAATTAATTAGGAGGTTACTATAACTGAAAAATAGTGGCTTTTAGTTGTAAATACCCTAACAAAAATGATTTAAATAATAGTGATGTGTAAAGCAGTGAACTTAAAAGTATTTCTAAAATGTTATAAATTTTTGCAAAGGAAGTTTTTTGGGATCCCACAATTTTATACTCCCCAAATGCCATTTTTTAAATTTAAGTTTTTGGTTGCCTAACATGTCAGCCTGTATCTTAGGAGTATCTTAAGGCACGTATATTAAATTAAGCTAAGCAATTCCTGACGTAAATTCCTGATAAGAAATTAGATGACAAAATAAAACTTTGATTTGTCTAAATATCTTTATATTTGGATTGGATGTACTCTATGCAGGGTAGCTAGGGTGGCAAAGTGGACAGAATGCCAGACCTGGAGTCAGGGAGACTTGCTGAGTTCATTGTGTGATCTTGGGCAAGTCACTTTATTCTGTTTGCCTCAGTTTCCTCATTTGTAAAATGAGCTGAAGAAGGAAATGACAAACTACTTCAGTATCTTTGCCAAGAAAACCCCAAATGGGGTCACAAAGAGTTGGACACAGTTGAAAAATGACTTAACAAAATGCTATGTATAGTTGTGCAGAGAGGCTCTTTAAGGATAATTTATCACGGTGGGGAGAGGGATTCAGGTGAGGGAGAAGGCAAATGAGACCTCCCATGGGATCCCAGCCGTTTCAGCTGGTTCCTGTTTGGAGAAGAAGAGCTCAGGAGCGGCCAGCGTGGGATGTGAATTCTGCACGTTGGTTCCCCGGGGTTGCAGGAGAGTCGTACCTCTCTGCCAGCTCCTGCGTGTTAACCCCGTGCTGCAGCATGTTTCTGGCATGAGGAGATTCCAAGGGAGAACGTAACTAACAAGAAACGGCTCTGGCAGGATTCGTTGCCATTGAAAAGTCACTGCTGTGGAGAGAAGGAGGGCGCCGAACTGTGATTTCACTGGCACAGTGACCTCCCTCCAGCGCAGGCCTGCGGCTCTCCCTGAGAGCCATCCAGTGGCCTGAGAGTGACTCCCCCGGGCGGAGCCAACCCATGGGCTTCAGAGGCTGTACTTGAATCTGGGACTTCTGGCTCAGAGGCTGAGGCTCCACGCACTTTGTCCCACTGCCTCTCTGTGGTGGGAAAGTAAGAATAAACAGATTGGTTTGCCCTGGCTTTTACACCTGAAGCTATAGAGGTGGCGCAGCGGATAGAGCACACGCAGCACCTGGAGTCAGGAAATCCCAAGTTCAGTCCAGTTGCAGGCCCTGCCTAGCCCAGTGACCCTGGGCAAGTCACTTCACCGCTGTCTGCCTCAGTTTCCTCCTGAAAAATGGCTGTGGGAAGAACACCTTCCTCCCAGAATTGTTGTGAGGAACACACATTGGGTGTTGTGAGATTTTGCAAACCTTGAAGTACTATAGAAACGCAAATTCTTGTTATTGTCATTGTAGTCTAAACTGAACAAAGTTCTTTGGTTGTTTAAACGTCCTGTGAGAGTCTTCCTTGGTTCCTTGTGCAGTCTGTCCAAACTCAGAGCTCTTAAAATGCTGCTAAAGTAGGACATCAGTGAAGTGTTGACTTGATATTTCACAGTCATGGCTTGAGTATTTTCTAAACAAGAAGATAAATTTTGCTTATTTGGGGGATAATGATATTAATGATGACGAGGAAAGGAAAGGCACACAAATGATGATTGTTACATTTTTGGTCACTATATTCCTTTTTCATATTCCAATTTCCAAACCGTGAAAATGCTCTCATTCATTTATCTGTGGGTCACAGAACTTAGCAGCAGGAAGCTGGTTGCCTCTTGGTCTGTTTGTTGTGAAGTGAGTCTGATTTAGTTTTGAGGCTAATGCATTTCTTTTCTGAATTAATTTTTTTTTCTGACATACTTGTTTAAGTGAGCGAGGAGTAGACATATGAACTCAGACTTTCCTGGAAGCTGGGGAAAATGTCACATAGAAAAATACAAATTGAGGGGAAAGGGTTTTTCCTCAGCATTGAAAATTTGCCCAGTTCATGTCAATAAAGGTGCTAAGTACATACAACAAAATCACATTTTTATGTGATACTTAAACAGAAATGATTTCTGACAGAAAACATTGAAGGTAACTGGTAAAGAAATGTAATCTTTATTATCTTTGTGTAATTGAAATGGAAGTTTTCTATATCCTAATTCATTGATGAGGAGGAATTTGAGCAGACTTAATTATCAGGCTTGATCCAGATATTGTAGCTATTTATACCCAATAGAAAGTATCTAATTCTCACTTTTTATAGAAAATAAGATTTTACTGAATGACCTTGTGTGAGTCGTACAAGATACTTGGACCATAAACACAAGGAGCTTGGGTTATGCCCATCTTCCATAAGGGATGTGTCTTTGGTAGAGGAGTGGGTGACTCTGAGGAGTGTGCTAAGAAGTTGCTAGTGGCTTGAGTGGACCCTTTGCTTGGCCAGTCCTTCTGGTCTAATGCGGGTATTAAATACCATACTGCATACTGAGGGCTGTTGGAGAGATTAAATAAGACACAACCCCTGCTTGGGTGGAACTTACAAACTGATATATTCAGTACCAATTTAACAGCAAACAAGGTGGCTCTCCAAGGCATATCTGTAAAATGAGGACCTTTTGGAGAAACTCGACAAATTAGCAGGCTAGGGAATCCCATGAGTCAGGAGAAAAAAGGGTGTCAGTTGTGAGAGTGAAAGTGGTATCGGTGTAAATAGTTTAATTGTCTTTTGGCATAAAAGTGTCTTTTAGTACAAAAGCGTTCATGATAGACTTTGTGTGCCATTGCTTTGTATTTCCAGTGAATGAAAATTCCTTCCATTAAATACAGTTTTTCTCTTATTTTAGGAGAGATTTGAAGCACTTTTTACAATCTATGATGACCAAGTTACATTTCAGTTATTTAAAAGCTTTAGAAGAGTCAGAATAAACTTCAGCAAACCTGAAGCAGCAGCAAGAGCCCGGATAGAGCTTCACGAGACGGACTTTGATGGGAAGAAGCTGAAACTGTATTTTGCACAGGTACTTCAGGGCACGGATTGTGCCCCTCTAAACTTGTCCTTTTCTCTCGTTTGTAGGAGGTACCTTTTGGGGGAGGGAACAAGTGTGGATGGAGCTCCTACTGTGTGCCGGCCCAGTGCTAAGTGCTTTACAATTATTAGCTCATTTGATCCTCACAACCACCCTGAGGGATAGATACTGTTCTTATCCCCATTTTACAGATGAGGAAAATGAGGTGGAGAGCAGCTAAGTCACTTGCTAATAAGCATTTGGGGCTGGATTTGAACTTAGGTCTTTCTGACCCTGGGCCCAGCACCCTGTTCACTGTGCCATAGCTCCCTAAGGTCAATTATGTGACTAGGCAAAATCCCTTAATCTTTCTAAGTTTCCTCACCTGTAAAATGCAGGGCAGGGGCAGATGCGATGGTTTTTTGAGGTCCCTCATAACCCCAGATCTGCAGCCTGATGAAAGAGCATCAGAGGAGGAGTACGGAGTCCTAGGGGTGGTTCCCAGATCTGCTGCTGACCACCTGTGTGACCTTGAAGAAGCCCTCCCTCTGGGCCTCATCTTCTCTATATACAGAGTGAAAGAGGTGGGCAAGCCGATCTGAGGTCTCTTCCACCTCCACCAGTGTGTGTATCTAGGAACAGAAGATGGGAGCTCGAACCCCATCTCTGCCATTCTCTAATGACCTTGGACAAGTCATTTGCCTCATCTGTAATATAAGGGGATTTGTGGAGAAGCCCCCTTAGGCCTACGGTGTGCTGCAGTGGCAGTGAGTAAAAGGGAGGAGACAGTTTAGAATTTAAACATTGCTGAGGGGAGTGCGCCTGTAGCTGACTAGAGCTGGCTGGACATAGTATCCTAACCTCTCCATTGGTGTTCTTTTCCTTTTAACTAGAATCACTTAGGAGGAACTGGTTGAAAACCCTAGATCTCTTTTCCTTTTCTCTTTCATGATTTGAATATATTTAAATTTCTTTCTTTTCACATGTTAGATATTTTTTCTATGTGATGAGAATGTTATGTGCCCCATTGAGACTCTGACTGGTTCCCATCCTCCCAAACAGAGGACCTAACAAAATAGACTTAGGTACATTGGTTTATGTCCAGCATGTCTGAGATAAAGGAGAAAACAAAACGGCTGAGGCCCATCGCCTCACGTGCTTCCTGGATAACCTTTAGTATTATTGTAATGCTGTAGTAGAGAGTTTTCCATTTGCCTTTTATTAGTGATGTGGGGATTTAATGCCCTGATTGGGCATTACTGATAGAAAGCCTGGGAATCCCAGTTGACCAGGTCATTCTTTGCTTGTCCAGGTCCAGATGACTAGCGAGCCAGGAGACAAAGCGTATCTGCTTCCCCCGCAGCCCGTCAAGCAGTTCCTGATCTCCCCGCCGGCCTCTCCTCCTGTGGGGTGGAAGCAGGGTGAAGACGCGATGCCTGTCATAAACTATGACTTACTTTGTGCCGTTTCCAAGCTGGGTCCTGGTAAGGACCTCTTTTCTTGCATGGATTTGGGGGAATTTTTTGCAGCTGTTGCATTAAGAGCTGTGCCCAATGTGTGGGCTGTGTGTGGCATGAGGTAGCTGTGGAAGTTGTTGTTTGTTATATTGTCTGGTTCACTTTCTGTACATCTTTCTTGTCTCTTCCTCTCCTCCTCTGTCCTCCCTTCACAAGAGCAGAAGAAACGCCACGTAAGATCTGAGTTGGGGCAGCTAGGAGGCACAGTGGATAGAGCACCAGCCCTAGAGTTCAAATCCGGCCTCAGACAGATCAGGCCTGCGTGACCCTCAGCAAATAGCTTAACTCCAGTTGCCTCTCAGACAAAAAGATCTGAGTCGTGAGTGTTGATGTGGATATTTTGTAGAGAAGTGCAGCTAGCCTGCCGTAAGGTTAGATTCAGAGGTGGGGGAGGGAGGGCTGTGCCTTGACAGCGCTGACCTCTCGTTATTAGCATAAGGGCTCCTAACCGGAGGTCAGTTTTCTTGGGGTGTTTTGAGGACTGAATTTCAATAGCGTCAGTCTCATTTATTCTGTGGTACACTTAAAATCCTTACTCAGAGAACGATTCCATGGGCTTCACCAGACTAACTGCCCAAGGAAGGGGCCAGGACAGAAGTGAGGACTGCTTCGGTAAATGGGGCTCACCCCTTCTAGGCCTTTCGGGTCGTCAGACATACAGTGCGCCTCTCTCATTTGACACAGAAGCAGAGGAGAGCCCAGAGTGGGGAGGTGCTCTGTGAGGCCGTCATCTTGGTTCCCAGCACATGGAGCAGACCCTCTGTCAGTGCATGGAGCTTCGTAGCCCTGTGAAAGGGGAGCCTCCAGTGCGTGATCTGTCAAGGGAGAAACTAAGGTGCAGCCAGTTGGGTCAGGCAGACAGTAGGGTTGGCCAGGTTGCCGTTGACTCTTCAGACTCCTCATTTCAGCACCTCTCATCCCAGCTCTGATCAGTCCCCTTTTCCCCACCTCTTCACTGCACAATCACCTAGAATTTGGGAGAGCTGTTTGGTTACTGACCCAACTTACCAATCACCAGAGACTTGAGCTGACCATTTAGTGGCCTTTCCCAGAGCTCCACAGATTCTCAGGACCCCAGAGATTTCATTAAGCCCACCCACATTTATCTGTCTCTCCTTTCTTTTGTACCCCACAGTGTAAAGGGGAAAGCACAAGATTAGGAGTTAAGAAGGGGCAGCTAGGTGGCACAGTGGATGGAGCACTGGGCCTGGAGCCAAGAAGACCTGAGTTCAAATCCATCCTCAGACACTTACTAGCTGTGTGACCCTGGGCAAGTCACTTAACCCTGTTTGCCTTAATCCACTGGAGAAGGAAATGGCAAACCACTGCAGTGTCTTTGCCAAGAAGACCCCATGGACAGCACAGTCCACAAGTCACAAAGAGGCAGCCATGACTGAACAACTGAGCAAACGACAAGTGAAGAGACCTGGCTTTTAGCCTTCACTCTGCCTCTAGTGAGGTGTGTGACCTTGGACAGCTAACTTTTCTCTGAGACTCCGTTTCTTTAGGTGGCAGAAGGCTAGTTTAGACTAGAGGTCCTTTAAGGACTCTTCCATTAATGTCCCCATGCAGTCTAACATTTTATGATCTCTCTTGTTAAATAATCATCCTGCCTGTGCCCACTTCAGTAACATCAGACAGGGTAAAGTGGGCAGCTCACTAGGTATCTCTCCCCTGGCAAGTCCTTTAACCTTAGGGAGCTCAGTTTCCTTGTCTGAGCGCTAAGCTCACACTGGGATCCACTTCCTCACTACCCCAGGATCTCAAAACAGTTACATGTAAATGAACTGGGAGGTCGTAATGCCCAACACTTTAACTGTTAAGTAGTCTTCAAAGACGCCCAATTTTTTTCTTTAAAGAAATTAACTTTTAGGAGCAGCTAGGTGGCACAGTGGATAGAGCTCCAATCTCGGAGTCAGGAGGACCTGAATTCAAATCTGGCCTCAGACACTTGACACTTACTAGCTGTGTGACCCTAGGCAAGTCACTTAACCCCATTGCCTAACCAAAAAAAAGGGAAAAAAAATTAATTTTTATTTACATATTTTAGTTTCTACTCTAAATTTCCTCCTATATCTCTCCTCCCAGAGAGGTGTCCCTTATAACAAACAAAAAACCAAAACAAAACAACCCTACAGAGGGAAAGAAGAGGGGGAAAAAAATTCAGCACAACCAGTCAGTCTGTAAAAAAGTCGACATTTGCAGATTCTGCTCTGTCCTTTGCAGGAGTGGATGAGTGTCCCCTTAGAGCTCTTTTTTGGGGGCAAGCATGTCCTTTGTAGTTCTGCAGCGTTCACTTTCCGTTGGTTTTTGGTGGTTCTCTCTGGTTACATCATTGGAGTCATGTATATGTTGTGTTCTTGGCTCCGATGACTTCACTTTGCATCAGCTCCCATGTGACTGTCTGTGCTTCTCTGTAGTCAGTGTATTTGTGGTGTCTTACCACACAGGCTTCATATTCTCTCGCATTTATGTGCCATGGTTTATCCAGCCATTTTCAGTGGGCATCTATTTTGTTTCCTTCTTATCTACCCCCCAAAGTGCAGCTACAAGTATTTTGGGGTATGCTATGGAGCCCTTTATCAATGCAGAGAGGTCTGGTTTAATGATCTATCCCCGATGGCTGTGTTTCTATATATTCATATTTTATCGATTTTTTATTTGAAAACCCTTTAAACAATCAGATTATTCACATATAAAAGAGGCCTTGCCTTGCGTCCTCTACTGGATAGGCCACCCTTCATTTCTGTGTCTCTTGTGATCAGACCGACCCCACACAGCTTCTCTGAAAACTATTTCACACACAGATTGTTGTAGTTTTTATTAAGCCTCCTCCTTCCAGGCATCAAACAGGTTACCTTTGAAAGAGGCATTCTTTACCAGTTGGTTTAATTCTTTTCTCAACAGAGAAGGTCCTTTTTCTGCCCTGTGAGCACCAGGTTGCTCAGTTTGAGCGGCCTTGTTTAAAGGGCCAGGACCTCACATGCATCTCTGCCCCTCCAAGATTCAGCATCTTCTTGGGTTTCAGAGATTCATGAGTGTCTTCATGACCAGAGGGGAAAGCTCAGGCAGATGGCTTTAATTCCGTGGTTTTCATTGTTGCTCCTCCATTAGGTGTGTTTTGTGAAACAGCCGAGTGTTTTGTCTTCAAGGAACTTGCCACCCCATTCTTGACTTTTGTTCCTTCTGCAGGAGAAAAATACGAGCTTCACGCAGGGACCGAGTCTACCCCAAGCGTGGTTGTTCACGTCTGTGAAAGCGAGACTGAAGAGGAGGAAGAAACGAAAAATCCCAAACGGAAAATCGCCCCAACCAGGCGTCCTGAAGCGCCTTCGATGATCCGAAGCGATCCTCCGGCTTTTGGCTGTACACTGTGAAGGTAGCAGTGGCAGGAGGGACCTCACATGGTCTTGGTCGTGAAGAGCAGCTTTCTGCCCCCTGCTGCTGGCGTGGGTCAGTCAGAGTGTCAGGGGATGGACGTGCTGTGCTCAGCAGTCCTGTGCTCTTCTGAAAGTCGTGTACATTTTACATAGTACAGGGTAACAGCAGATTTCACTAGTGATTGTCTTTCATGTTCGAATTTTAGATGATATTCTAAACAGCACTTTAATTTAAAGGATAGTACCGCCCCCCAGTGTAGCATCTCTGACATATTTTACTAGTGGAAAATTAGGAAGTTGGTTTTATTTTTTCCAGCAATGTTAACTTCTCTAATATCATGTAGCATGGGGTACCAAAAACTGGAACTATATTCACCCAGTACAGTACCATTTTATGGATTTAAAAATCTAGTCTCTAGCTTAACAGTTCAGCGTGGGTATTTTTGTACTGGTATACTAGCTTCTAACTAATGTATTGATCAAATGTTAATGCTATTCAGTATATACTAACATTTTTGCACGGCTAGAAGTCTAATGTCTAGGAGAATTAATAGAAAATGAATCGGCCCATTTCAAAGTATTTTTTCTTCAACTTTTTGGAAAGAAATGCCAAATTCACCTTGATTGATGAAAACTTTGGCATCTTTCCATGTGCATATTGTGTAGTGCTCTACCCTTAACAGAAAGTCTGGAGGGAAGAGATACACAGAACTCCCTTCCTGATGCCTATGCCTTCTTAGAGGCCGGCTCCCTGCGGGACACCTTGCCAGTAGGCATGATTGACTGTGGTGTCAGATGGCTGATCATAGATTGCCATTTGCAGCTAACTGTGTTCCTGTCTAGAGTAAAAACTTGCTTTCAGCCGTTCAGTGTTAGTCTGTTAACTTCTCTATTGTTGTACTGATCACTGGTCCTTGAGGCTGTTTGTTTTGTTATGTGTGTTTGGTTGTGTCTGTCCCATAATCCAGAGAAAAAGAGATGACCGATTTTCTGAAGGTGGCTTGTAATTTGAAAATAAGTCTACACACTCTCAGTTTTCTGTTTCTAAGAGTAGTGGGGAAGAAAGAAATCGGCTGACTCATCACATTTGCTTTGGGGATGAAGCATGTCTGCTTGTGTTCACTAAAGTACAGGACGGCTTCTCTATTGTGCACGGGATACTTCTGAGAGGAAAAGCACCTTTGGAAGTGCCCTTCAGTGGGCTCCAGATATTTCTGGTACCTGTTACGGAGCATTACCTGTTCTAATGACAGTAAGATGGATTTCTGTGGGCTTATGTTTCACTGCAGATACTTTTTTTTTTAATCTTCCAAATGTCCCTGGTCCTTCAGCATTCTGAAATCTTCCCAGTTGCATGGGGACACACACACACACACACACACACACACACACACACACACACACACACACACACACACATGCACGCACACACTCTCTCTCTCTCTCTCTCTCTCTCTCTCTCTCACATATTTGCTTCTGGAATCTGTCACTGATAAATTCTAATGTAAATTTAGTAGAAGTATGATCAATCAGCAGCTTCCTCAGTTCCAGTCAGCATTTGGCAGCTGATTTGACACCCATTTAACGAGTTCACTTCATAAATCTGAACTCAGGACTGCCAGTTATCTTCTTGCCCAGCAGGCCCCAGGTTAGAGTTACAGAATGAGTCCTCTCAGTGAGGAGATGGCATGTGTTTTAAATCTACTCGAGAACACATTCAGGCTCCTCCCAAGTAGCCGTGGTCTGTCATAACTTTCCCAGTGGCCACAATCCACGAATTTTCATTCCACTTCCCCTTCTCCTGCCAATTACGACACGTCCCGTCAGTGAGACAGGAAGCACTTTGTAGTCTCTCTGCAGTACCAGCTGCCCACTTCCCCCCTGTTTTTGAGAATGTTGGATGGGCTAAAAACCTTTTTAGAGAGTGAATTCTTTTTAAACAAACTACCAATAAAGCTTTGAGGGAAGGAGTCAGCTTGGCCCACCCTTGGAAAGGACCTTGGGCAGAGAATCCAAAGGCTGAATCCTGGTTCCGCCACAGAGATCCGTGGTGTCACCTGAGGCAAATGTTGCTTTCTGAAGCCTCTGTTTCCTTATCTGTAAAATGAAGGGTGTCCAGCTAAAGCTCTCTAAGGCCTCTCCCAGTGCTGGCATTCTGTGTTTTTTGTGAGGGGGGAACATCGACAGTTCCAGTGCACAGTTTTCATCAGGTGAATGTTTAAGTAAAAATTATCCACACCTTTTGGTTTTTCATTATTGGAATCACTTTGGAACCTGACAGGTCTTGTAGCTTCTGGCTTTGGGGCAGTTAGGCATCCTGCCCACTTAACTGTCTTGCAAAATGAAGAACTCTCCTATGCACCACTTTCTTCTTTTACCAAATTCCTGCAGTGTTTTTGCTATTGAAATTGTATTGTTGTAAACCAAGTTAACATTTGTACCCAGGTCTGAATAACTGTCATGGCCGTGTTTTCTCTTTATTTGAGCAAGCAACTTATTTAGAGAATTTTGAGAAAGCAAAAGGTGCCTTGTATCAGGGGAGGAGGGAGGAGAGAGGGAAGGTGATTGATGTGAATACAAAGACTAGAGTGGTCAAGAAGGACGGTGCCCTTTTGGCCCCCTTGGTTCATTCCATGGGTGACAAAGACTCTCTGCTGCCATGGTGGATTCAGGTGAGGACAAGAGCTTCCATAGGGCTTCTGAGAAAAGGATGAATAACCTTGTAAATCAGAATTGTGGGTGTTGAAGGAGTCTTTTCGTGGAGGCAGTGGAGGTGTTGCAGGACCCAGAGGCCTCATGTCCCTTTGTGCTCCGGGGATTTGCCTTTGCTTCCCTGAAGGCGGGCTCCTGCCGGGTGTGCCATGGAGGCAGAGTGCCCACAGAACCTCAGAACAGCTGCTGAACACCGAGGATGCATTCCAGAAAGCGGGGTATAAAATTATCTAATTTCTTTCAAAGAGTACTTGAAATCCCCGCTGCATAAAGCACCACAAGAGGAAAAAATGAAACCTGGTGCCCCTGAGACCACTGAAGGACACCAGAGAGAAGGTAGTTTGCAGGTGCAGTCTTCCCCGTCCTTGGCTGTTGTGTTTTTAAATAGTAAACTAGCTTTGATGCTTTGTGGGGTTTTTAATGTTATAATTCAGTCCAATGGAGCATAATGGGAGTCTGTCTAAATATCCTCATCTCACTAGTCAAGCATGCCAGCAGGATGCATTGGTCTTTTCAGAACAAAACTGTAGTGAAATTTTAAGGTAAATGTCATGCTTAAAACCTGTGTCTAATGTGATAGAACAAGACCCTGAAACCATTTGGAAGTCTCTCCAGCACATGTCTTACACCAGACTGGGATTTCATCTTCATGCTTTAGAGGGGAAGCAGAGGGATGACTTGGGGAGGTGAAGACTCACTTTAAAGGGGAACCATGATGGATGATAAAGCAAGAGCCCATTTGCGATTGAGTATATGTTTGAGGCTGCCCAGCATCCTTTGGCCTTGTTAGACTGTGGCTTTACTCACAAAGTGAGAGTTACCAGTGTACAAAAGCAGTAGGAAATCTAACATCCCCCAGGGTCTCCTGGTGCTGTTGTTCACTTTATGTTTCTCTTTTCTCTAGAGTTGTGCTCCTTAAATTGTATGAAATGAATTAAACTTCTATGAACCACTTTTTTTTTCCTGCTTTATATAGCCCCACCTTCTGGGAGCACATTTTGCATTTAATTTGCTAGTACTGAAAATCCAAATTTACATAGACCATGACAAGGGAAGGGAGTGGAGATTTGGGCAGCCATTTGCTTCTTATCTAGAGAAGTCTGTCTGTGTAATAATAAACATTCCCCAAGTATTCATTGAATGAATGAAAATAAGACTTGCAGATTTGGCACAGTGTTTGAATGTGTTGACTCAGTGGCGTAACTCCCTTTTTCTGCCATGATGTTTGCGACATGCACGAGGCACTTTCCGTAAGGAGAACCATTGTTTTGCTTATTGAAAACATATTTTAGATGCCCAGGAGGCTTTTGTTATAACTGGCATAGATTAAAGCCAACTGAAAAACAGTAATTGCTAGACTCATCGACCAAAAAGGTTACTGGCACCAATATTGTTCAGAATCAAAACTGTCCCCAGGATTGGGAAGGCCTTTCCTGCTGAGTGAGGGGTCCTTGGATGGTGAAAACCACAACCTTTCCTGACCCTCTGCTGTCTTAGGCCCCTGGAATTTGAGCTCTTCTGGCCTGCATCTTTCCTTCTGTAATCAAATGAGATAGTATTTGTAAAGCACTTAGCCCAGTGCCTGGCACACAGTAGGCACTGTATAAATGCTTATTTCCTTCTCTTCCCTCTCCTGCTTCTTGAAGCAGAATCATGGGCCCAGGGAGTTCCTATACTCCTTGGAGGATCTTTTTCCAAATGTACATCCTCATTATGATGAAAGGCCTGCCTGTTCACATGATGGGTTTTCTCTATTGTTTTACTCATTTAAAGTCACCTATGGCTACGATTTGGGAATGAGACAAGGAGTAGATAAAGGCAGTCACTTTGTCATTGTGCCATATGATTTCTCTGTTACTCTTCCTGCAGTTTTTCCAAACCAGAAAGAGTGTTTACAGGATGTACTGATGTCCATTTCTGTCCTAACATGGCGCCCGCAGGAAGAGAGGTCTCTGTAGACTGTTTTGTCCAATTCCCAGTTCACCCTTTTACATGCGACTGCTCAGATCCCCTGCTTCATGCATTGAGTCATTGTTTTCCCTGATTCCGGCTTTGAGCTTGTCTTGTGTTTCAGAAGCCCTTCCTCCCTCTAGGGTCCTGGGAGGTGTGTCGTATGTCCGTAATGCTTGTACATGCTGTCCACATTGTAGTGTCCTTGAGGCAGTGGTCTTCAGTGTAGTCAGTCTTGTGTGTTATCAGCAACTATTGAGTATACTGTACTGCAAGGACATTCCTGTACCTTGTGCTGTAAAGGTAGCAGAAGCAGAATGTAATCCTTTTGGAAGCTTACTGATTCCTGCTAAGAAATTTTTGTTTTTCAAAACTGTAAGAAATAAAGTTAATTTTTTTAAAATAACACAGTGAATTGTTCTTTGAGTGGTGATTTCATCATGTGGTCAGTGATATGAAGGTGATACTGAATTAAGACAGAAATACAGAGTGATGATATGCAGTCCTTTGCCCTAACTCCAGAGTTCTGCCAGAGTTCAAGGTGGGTAGCTCCCTGCTGCACTTGTAATAGAATAAGCCAAAAACAGAAGTCGGGGGTGGGGATAAGGTGGGAATCTGGGAATTTGTATCCAAAAATGCAGTGAACTATCCCATAAAGCCTTGAATTTCCTTTTACCAGTTATCTCCATTTGGATGACCACTCCACAGACAGGTTACCAAGCAGATTCCTGTTTGAGGTAGGGTTTGAGCGAGGCAACTCTGAGGTCCTTGCCACCTCCTCTGAGACTCTGACATTTACTAACAGCTTCAACCTTAGGTATATATGTAAACTTCTCTCAGCTCACATATCCTCATCTGTATAATGGGGATAACAGTATTTACATATCTGCATCTTAGTGTTCTTTTTTAAAATTTAATATTTTGTTTTTCCCCAATTACATGTAAAACAATTTTAACATTTCTTTTTTCAAATTTTGAGTTCCAAATTCTCTTCCCCCTCCATCCCCCTCCTCATTGAGAAGGCAAGCAGTTTGACATAGATTATACATGTATAGTCATGCAAAACACGTTTCCATGTAAATCATGCTGTGAAAGAAAACACAGACAAAAAAAACAAACCCACAAGAAAAATAAAGAAGATAAAGAAAAAGTATCTTCGATGTGCATTGAGAGTCCACCCGTTCTTTCTGTGGAGATGGACAGCACCTTTCATCATAAGTCCTTCAGAACTGTTTTGGATCATTGTGTTGCTGAGAATAGCTAAATTATTCACAGTAGATGGTCACACAAAATATTGCTGTTACTGTGTTTAATGTTTTCCTGGTTCTGCTGATTTCACTTTGCATCAGTTCTTGTAAGTCTTTCCACACTTTTCTGAAGTCCGCCTGCTCATCATTTCTTACAGCACAATAGTATTCCATTACATTCATATACCACAACTTGTTCAGTCATTCCCCAATTGATGGGCATCCCCTCAATTTCCAATTTTTTGCCACCAATTAGTAGTATTCTGAGGATGAAACGGGGTCATGTATAAGATGGTGGTGATGGTGTCAGTTGCTTTAATTCCAGAACTGTTGACTCTTAATGAGGTGGTATTTTTATATCTTCAAGAGAAAGAATAGCCAAAGGTACAAATCTTGGTAGGAACTTCAGACCTGAGATCATCAGATGTAGAGCTGGAAGGAACCGTAGTAATCATCTGGTTCAACCTCTTCGTTTTACAGCGAGGGAAACTGAGGCCCACAGAGGTGGGGCAATTTCCCAAAGTAGCAAAGCTAGGGATGAAATCTAAGACTTTTAATTACAATCTAGGCCTATTTCCACTCAAATCATTTAGTCCAATCTCTATATCTTCCAAATTGGAAAACTGAGTTCCAGAGTGGTATTATGGCTTGTTCAAGGTCATACAGCTACTTTGTGGCAGATAGAGCATTAGGACAGAGGTTTCTTGACTGTTAATCCAGGGTTCTATTCACTTCATTTCTGTGTTAAAATGGGATCTTTAATTTTTAAGGAACAGTTTAATTGATTTAGCAAAAAAACCCAATTCTATTCATAATGGAAAAGAAAGAGCCAACTAAAATGTACAGTCAGGCTAGGTATACCATTACCTTTATGCTCAAAGTCACAATAAATAGGAACGTATGAAAAAGAATGAGTGATAATGGATATGTGGTGCCTTTACATTCGCAAAACTCTTTACATATATTTAGGGCAGGTAGATGGCACCATAGTGCATAGAGTGCCAGGCCTGGGGTCAGGAAGACTCGTCTTCTTGAGTTCAAATCCTGCCTCAGGCACTTAGCCGTGTGACCCTGGGTTAGTCACTCCACCCTCTTTGCCTCAGTTTCCTCATTTGTAAAATGAACTGGAGAAGGCAATGGCAAACCATTCCAGCCAAGAAAACAACAAATGGGGTCACAAAGAGCAGGACGTGACTGAGAACAATTTAACAATATTTTTGTCCCAAGTCTTGCAGTAAACTCATGAGGTTTCCACTATAGTAGCATACCTATTTTGTAGATGAAGAAATTGGGACTCGGGTTAAATGGATTATTCATGGTCACACAGGTGATAGTAGAATAACACCACTAAATATATCCAGTGAGAACAAAAAGATATAACCACCACCATCAACCCCTATCCACTACATAAAATCCTGGTATTTGCTTCAACAACTGGGCTCCTGCCTTTCCTTCTTCCTTACGTGGGGCAGCATTGAGTAGTACAGACGGGACACGTAGGCTTCGTCTTGACTGCCAATCTACGTCCCCTGGGCATAACATTTCACCTCTGAGTTTCAGTTTTCTCATTTGTAAAATAAATAAAAAGAAATAATAACAATAAAAATAACTCCCACATAGAGCTGTTCTGAGGGAAGTGCTATAGAAAATTCTAAACCACTGTAGGCATGTGTTGTGTTGTTATGTATTATATTATTGATATATGTATATATATAATATATATATATATATATATCACTTCTCTGCAGTTAACAGTGGGCAGTGGGCTACATAAATGAGAAGAGAGGAAGGGAACAAGCATTTATTCAACACTCAATATTCACTACAACCCTGGGAGAGAGGTGCTATTATTATCCCCATTTTACAGTTGGGGAAACTGAGGCAGGCAGCGGTTAAGTGATTTGCCTAGGATCACAGAACTAAGAAATGTCAGAGGCTGGATCTCAACTAGGTCTTCCTGACTCCAGATCTGACACTCTCTCCACTGTTACCACCTAGCTGCCCTGAATTTATTATTGATAAACATGTCAAAACAAATACATTCAAGTAATTTGTCTCTAACAAATTCATCACCTTGGGAGTCTGTATACTAATGTGTTCATCTCCCAAAATGTTTTTAGAACTCCACTTTTAGAATAGACTTTCTTAAGACACACAATGTCTTATTACCTTATTGTCACAGTCTGGTTGTTCATTTTTCTTTTTTTCTCTCTTTTTTTTTCTTTAGGCAATTGGGGTTAAGTGTCTTGCCCAGGGTCAGACAGCTAGTAATTGTCAAGTGTTTGGTCTGAGGTCGGATTTGAACTTAGGTCCTTCTGACATCAGGGCCAGTGCTCTATCCACTGCGCCACTTAGCTGCTCCGGGTTGCTCATTTTTCCAGAAATGGTATTACTCTGTTGGGGTTGCTCTCTTTAATCACCAGATTGGGCTTCAAATGATTTTGATCAATCCTCAAATCAATTCCACCTTCCCAGGACAGAGATTTTCTGCTGGTCAGTATATTCAAGGTTTTGACAATATTTCAGTCAGTGGAAATGTGATGGAAACAAAGGTGTGTCTTCCCAAAGTACCTGATTAAGGAGGAAGACAAGTCAACTCAACAGACATTTATTAATTACTTACCATGTGGAAGATACTATGTGCTAGATACTGAGGATATGGAGAGAGAACAGAGTCACACCATCGGGGATGTCCAGGAGCTCATACAGCATGAAGAGCAGAATTTTTTGCATTAAATGCGTCTATAAAAAAGTCATATTTTAAAGTGTGTGACTTACCCATATATCCAGTCTGAAAATAACAGTTAAAGAAAATATTAAACTCTTAAGATTGAGCCTAGATGTTCTCAGAAGTACAATGCAAAATTCCCTTAACTTCTTTGAAAGGTAAAAGGAAAAGTACAAATTTCAGCTAGGCCACCAGAGGGAGTAGGCCTGATTTAATGAATCAACGAGCTGAGACCTGTTAAAGACCTTAGTTTAAGGTGGCCGAGGTCTCCCTTTGCATCCAGGGCCATCTCCAGGCTTCCTGATCTAGGACCCAGATGGCTCTGGAGGAGAGAGTGAGGCTGGTGCCCTGGCACAGCCCCCCCTCACTTAAATCCAAGTGGCATCACCTCCCTGATGTCATGGTCCTCTTCGAGAGCAAAGGACGAACAACAGCAGCTGAAGGGTCTCGCTGAATGACGCCTTTTCTTAGGTCTTCTGAATCTCCTCGATTCTACATTAAAGGTAATTTTTAAATTGCTTATCTCCCCCCTCCCCCATTTTATTGCTACAATTAGAAAAAATCTGGTATGTTCTTTTTCTTAAGTTGCAGTAGCCTTTCCTTTTCAAAAGTTTTCCTCATAACAGGAAGTGACCTTGGGCCTCCCAAAAGGCCAGTAATGTGAGTGCTAGAGTAGATTTTACTAGACAGGAAAGGTATTGACATTAGATTGCATTAACTGTCTAGGGGCTCACCGTCTCTGAAGAAGTTCAAGGGCGAAAAGTTCGCTCTTCAGCCACAGAGACCCAGGCAAAAGCTCTAGTATGTCAGCTTTCCTTGTCAGTGTTTTTGCATTTGACTTGACAGCAAGGCATTCAGCAGAAAAGCATCAGGTGCTACATGTTCTGATGCTAGGTAAATATTATCAGGAAAGGAGCCTAGATTCCTCACTAGATTTGGTCCTCTGTAGATGAAAGGAAGATACCTATTTGCTTTTAAAGAATGTGCTCTGGAGGCAAGAAATTGCTTTTGTAATGTGTTCCATTTTGTCCTGCTGTGGCCCTGTTTTTAACGTCATTAAAATAGTTGAGATTTTTCGTGTATTTATCCTTTTGAAAATAAAATAATTTATTTTCAGTGTTTACCCAAAAAAAGATATGTGTTCACAATTTTGATTTGGCACAGAATCAACCAAAAGAGGACATTTATATTTATCATAAAAACAGATGAACCAGTGGATAGAACTCTAGCTTTGGAGTCAGGAGGACCTGAGTTCAAATTTGGCCTCAGACACTTGACACTTGACACTAACCGTGTGACCCTGGGCACCTGTGTAACCTTGACCACCTCACCAAAAAAGCAAAAAACAAAACAAAAAACAACAACAAAAAACCAGATAAACCAACTTTCAAGTACCTACTGTTTTGAAAATATTACTTTATGAGCTGGCTTGCAA